TAGAAGAAACTGACTTCACCTGTGAAGATAGACATAGACTGAAAGTGAAGGAATGGAAAAAGATATTCCAGCCTGGTGCAGTGGCTCACGCCTGTAATCCCAGAGCTTTGGGATGCCAAGACGGGCGGACCATGAGGTCAAGAGATAGAAACCATCCTGGCCAACATGGTGAAACCCAGTCTCTACTAAAAAAAAATACAAAAATTAGCTGGGCGTGGTGGCATGTGCCTGTAGTGCCAGCTACTTGGGAGGCTGAGGCAGGAGAATTGCTTGAACCTGGGAGGCAGAGGTTGCAGTGAGCTGAGATCATGCCACTGCACTCCAGCCTGGTGCCTGGCGACAGAACAAGACTCTGTCTCAAAACAAAACAAAACAACAACAACAAAAAAGAGATTCCATGGAAATGAAAACCAAAAGCAATTAGAAGAGTAGAAATAGCTATACTTAGAAAAAGTGAACTTTAAATTAAAAAGAGTTGAAAAAAAAGACAAATATACTGATAAGTGAGTCAATTCATTAAGAGGCTAGAACAATTCTAAATACACATATACCCAACAATGAAGCACTCAGACATATATAAAGCAAATATTATTAGGTTTGAAGGGAGAGACTCCAATACAGTAATAGTTGGCACTTCAACTATTCATCTTAACATTGAACATGTCATCTAGACAGAGAACCCACAAACATCAGATAGAAACTAGAGTTTAGACCAAATGTGCCTAACAGACATTTACAGAATATTTCATTCAACAGCTGTAGAATATACATTCTTTTCATCAGCACACAAAACACTTTCCAGAATAGACCATATTCAAGGCCACAAAACAAGTCTCAACAAATTTTTAAAACGCAAAATTACATAAAGTCTCTTATCAGACCACAATGGAATAAATTGGAAATCAACAAGAGGAATTTTGAAAACTGTAAGAATGCATGGAAATTAAGCAACATGCTTCTGAATGATCTTTTGGTTAATGAAGAAATTAAGAAGGAAATGAAAATATTTCTTGAAACAAGTGAAAGTAGAAACACAACACACCAAAGCCTATGGGATACAACCATGGCACAGCTTAGAAGGAATTTGTAGCAATAAACACCTACATCAAAAAGTAGAAAGATTCCTAATAAACAATCTAATGATGCATCTCAGCACACTAGAAAAAAAAGATCAAATCAAATCCAAAATGTGTAGAAGGAAAGAAATAATATAGATCAGAGCAGAACTAAATAAAATAGAGCCTAAAAACCTATACAAACAATGAACAAAAAGCTGACTTTTTGAAAGGATGAAATCAAACTTTTGCTAAAAGAAGTGCAAAAAGTCAAATAAAAATTACAAACAGAGAGACATTACAACTGATACCGCAGAAATATAAAAGTTTATCAGAGACTAATACGAGCAACAATACATTCACAAACTAGTAAACCTAGAAGAAAGGATAAATTCCTGTACACATACTATCTACCCAAGATTAATCAAGGAAGAAACAGGAATCCTGAACAGATCAATCATGAATAATGAGATTAAATCAGTAATTAAAAGTCTCCAGACACAGGAAAACCCAGGACTAGATGGCTTTACTGCTGACTTCCATCAAACTAAAAGAAAATCTAACATCAATTCTTTTCAAACTATTCCAAAAAATCAAATAAGAAGGCATTCTTCCTAACTAAAGCTATGAGACCAGCATTATCCTGATAACAAAACCAGAAAAGTAAGCAACAGAAAGAGAAAAATATACACCATTATCCGTAATGAAAGCTCTCAACAAAATGCCAGCATGGTGGCTCACACCTATAATCCCAGCACTTTGGGAGGCCAAAGAAGGCAGATCACTTGAGCCTGGGAGACTGAGACCAGCCTGGGCCACACAGTGAAAGTCCATCTCTACAAAAAATTACAAAAGTGGGCGGGGTGTGATGGCACATGCCTGTGGTCCCAGCTACTTGGGAGACTGAGGTGGGAGGATTGCCTGAGTCCAAGAAGTCAAGGCTGCAGTGAGCTAAGATGTGCTACCTCACTCCAGCCTGGACAATAGAGTGAGATCCAGTTAAAAAAAAAAAAAAAAGGCAGTGGGAAGGGGGGCAAAGGGTATGAATAGACATTTCTCAAGATAACAATATGGAAATTTCCCCAAAAAACTAAAAATAGAACTTCACAGTATGATCCAGAATTCCTATTTATCCAAAGGAAAGGGAATCAGTATACCAAAGGAATACCTCCATGTCATTGCAAATCATTGAATATCATTTTGTAATGTCTGAATAGTACTCCATTGTGTATATGCACCACATGTTCCTTATCCATTCATCTGTTGATGGACACTTAGATTGCTTCCGAATCTTAGCAATTGTAAACAGTGCTGCAGCAAACATAGGAGTGCAGACATCTCTTGGATATACTGATTTCCTTTTTGGGGGTATATGTTCAGCCATGGGATTGCTTAATCATATGGTAGCTCAATTTTTAGTTTTGTGAGGAACCTCCAAACGGTTCCCCATATGGCTGTACTAATTTACCTTCCCACCAACAGTGTTCAGGGGCTCTCTTTCCTTCATGTCCTCACCAGCATGTGCTATTGTCTATTTTTTGGATATAAACCATTTAACTGGGGTAATAGGAAATCTCATTGTATTTTTGATTTGCATTCCTCTGATGATCAATGATGTTGAGCACTTTTTCATATGCCTATTATGTTAAGTGAGATAAGCCAGTTGCAGAAAGACAAACATCACATGATCTCACTTATTTCTGGGATCTAAAAAGCAAAACAACTGAACTCATGGACATATACAGTAGAAGGATGGTTCCCAGAGGCTAGGAAAGGCAGTGAGGGGCTGGGGAGAAGGTGGGGATGGGTACAAAAAATAGAAAAAATTAGTAAAACCTACTATCGATAGCACAATAGGGTGACTCTGGTCAATAATAATGTAAGTATATATTTTTAAAGTTAAAGACTGTAATTGGATTGTTAACACAAAGGATAAATGCTTGAGGGGATGGAAACCTCATTCTCCATGATGTGCTTATTTCACATTACACAGCTGTATCAAAACATCTCGTGTACTCCATAAATATATATACCTACCATGTACTCACAGACATTTTAACAAATAATTTTAAAAAGTTTATGAACAAAGGAATAACTGCACCACCATGTTTATTGCAACACTATTCACAATAGCCAAGATACGAAATCAATCTAAGTGTCCATCAATGGATGAATGAATAAATAAACATGCTACGTATATATACACAATGGAATACTATTCAGTCCTAAAAAAAGTATTAAATCTTACTATTTGCAGCAACGTGGATGGTCTGGATGACATTACGTTATGCGGAATAAGCCAGGCACAGAAAGGCAAATATCACATGTTCTCACTTGCAAGGGGGAGCTAAAAAAGTCATCTCATCGAGATAGAGAGTAAATGATAGTTACCAGAGGCTGGGAAGGGTATGTGTGTGGTGGGCAGGCAGGATGAAGAGAGGAAGGTTAATAGGTTAATAGGTACAAACATAGAGTTAAACAGAAAAAATAAGCTCTAGTGTTCAATAGCACAGTACGGTGACTATAGTTAAAAACAACATATTGTATATTTTAAAATAGCTAGAAGAGAAGATTTGAAATGTTATCAACACAAAGAAATGATAAATGTTTGAGGTGAAAGGTATCCTAAATACCCTGACTTGATCGTTTACACTCATGCAGCATTCTATGCATGAGTCAAAGCAACATATGGACCCCATAAATATGTACACACATTATAGATCAGTAAAAATCATTTAAAAAAGAGAATAGTGCATTGGGAGAACAAGCTTCCAGAAAACAACAGGTAAAATCCAAATTGGAAGATCTTCTCTGAAGAAAGATTGCGATTATTTGTAAATCATAACTCGAAGTCAACGTACATTAAAAGGGAGAATAGAATTATGAAAGTTTAAAATAAAAATTTAAAATTTATATCAGAGCTTAATGAATCTTTAATATATAATTCAATATCTTATCCACTCATCTTGAAAAGAATGTATAGACTAAGAAATGAATATGTTGAAAACAAGGAAGCCCGAAGACCAATAATGTATCTGAGTCAGGGAATCCAACTCTTCTAAAATTGTACTACAGAGGTAGTTGTATGCGAATTTTTTCTTTGTACCAGTTTAAAGTTGCCTAATAAAAACTTTGGTCTGGGGCGGGGGGGTTGGGAGGTGGGAAGAGATAGCATGGGGAGAAATGACAGATACAGGTGAGGGGACGGAAGGCAGCAAACCACACTGCCGTGTGTGTACCTATGCAACAATCTTGCATGTTCATCACATGTACCCCAAAACCTAAAATGCAATAAAAAAAGAAAAGAAAAAAAAAAAAGAGAACACTGGGGACTGGGTTTCCAGCAAAGCTTCCTGCTAAAAAAAAAAAAAAAAAAAAAAAAAAAAAAAAAAAACCACTTTGGTCTTAGAGAAGGAATCTACAAGGCAATTCTTGACGTCTTTAAAATAATGTAAACCATAAGCCCAGACCTCTGGATGAGGTTTATTGATTCTAATATTATTGGGACTGATCTTACATAAATAAGTCTTTCGGGTAAGAATGAGTATTTGAGTCATCTTGGGAACTAATTCTTGAGAAATTGGGTGATTCAACATAAGGGTTTATTTATTTAAATAAATAACTGAATTCACATTTTTTTTTCCTAAACTGATTTGACTATGGATAACGTCTTTTTGTAGAATTGTAGTATTGACTAGTGGTTTGATGAAACTAAGTTTGGGAAAATTTGGGTAAATATTAGAAAATTAGGTTTCATTTCCTGAGAAAACAGGTTTGATACCATAAAAAGATTTTAAAAATGAAAATTGAGAATACGACGTATGATTAGCTCTAAAACAGTGAGAAATGAATACTCTGTCATAAACGTGCTGATTAAGAAAAAAGAGGGTATGTTAGAGAAGCCAGCAGTTTCTTTTACAGGAAGCCCGGGTTTGGGTACCTTACCAGAGCAAACCACTCCAACATCTTCATGGTGACTGCAGAAGTTATTTCCCCACCCAATGTGCCTGCATGACCAGAGATCTGACTCATCTCCATCACAGGAAATATCACTGAGCCAAATTCTTCCATATCCTGCAGAAACGTTTCCCAGACCCAGTGCCGATGACAGCAGATGGACAGTCCAGCTGGCTACACACCACAGCCGCAGCGTTATGGTCCCAACCGTCATCACACACTGTGCCCCACCGGCTTTGAAAGTACACCTCCAGTCTTCCTGAGCAGCGGGTGCTGCCGCCCACCAGCCTCAGGCCCCACGTATCATTACCTGCATCAAGAACAATGAAGCAAGCAGTTAATGGGTGTGATGGTTTGTGTGTCAACTCGGCTGGGCTATGGTACCCAGTTACGTGGTCAAACACCAGTCTAGATGGTGCTGTGAAGGTGCTTTTTTTTTTTTTAGATGTAATTAACATTTAAATCAGCAGACTTTGAGGAAAGCAGATCATTCTCTATAATGTGAGTGGGCTTCATTCAATCAGTTGAAGACCTTGAGAGAAAAGACTGAAGTCCTCCGCACTTTCTTGAGATTTAAGCCTGCAACATCAGCTCTTCTCTGCAGTCTGCTGGCCTCGCCTGCAGATTTTGGACTTATTTCCCCACTCGCTGTATAAGCCCCCATAATTTCTTATACAATGGATGAAACCAATTCCTTAAAATACATCTCTCTCCCTCTCTCTACATACATACATATATACATACACACACACGCACACACACACACACACATACACACACACACACACAGAGAGAGAGAGAGAGAGAGAGAGAGAAAGACAGAGAGAGAGAGAGAGAGACTCACATTCTATTGGTTTTGTTTTCCCAGAGATCCCTGAATAACACAGATTTTGGTACTAACAGTGGTTCTAGAGGAACAAAATCTTATGGGTGAGTTTTATGAATTAATGCTGTAATTCATGACTTGATTCTAGAATTGGTTCTCTAATCTGATAAAAACTGAATGACACTAATGATTTATATCCAGTAGTAAAGAGGGCACTAATAGTCCATGGCATGATGTGTCAATAGATATATAGAAAATCTCATCATTAGATGCGCCTAATCAAATACTCATAGGAGGCACAGTTCTGGGCCATATTTGATACCTTAGGACATTTTTGTCAAATTTACAAGCATAATGAGACTGGCTGGCGACTCCCAATTGCACTGGACAATATACGAAAAGAAAAGGATGAGCTTAGAGATTCAAATTCCCAGCTGAACCGCAACATGACCTGCAAGATTTTACGTCTTCCCGGAAAGAAACTAGTGTCTCTTATAGCCACGGAACTGAGATTGCTGAAATCCCTCATCTGGTAAGGAGCTAAATTCTCAACCTCACAGGATGTCTCCTGTTAAAGTGAGGGCTTTGATTGGGACGGAATAGAATTCTGAAAATTGGGATGGGGTTATATGGGAAGACTCGATGAGGTCGGAAACATTGAAACCTCATATTCAACTGTTTCTCCTTTAGCGGTAGAGACGACCAACCTCTGTGTGAGAATATTAACCCTACTTTGCTTGAAGCAATTAAATCTCCACTGAGATAACTGTCTTGAAAGGCACTCCTGATTCTCCTCAGCACCCATCCCATCAACCCTCTCTACATCTAGACTCAAGTCCCAGTGGGTTCCAAAACATGAGGTACAAAATGTCTCATGTGGACACAAATAACCATGATTTTTCCAATTTGCACAGACAGAAATCAGAAATATGTGGGAATGAATACTAAGGATGTGAGATAATGCTGGAAGGAACATCAAGTTGGATCAGGATGAATTTCCTGATATGAGCCCTAAGCAGAAACTCTAGCCTTGATGCAGCTCAGGGTTGGCTAGAAAGGCTCTAACAGTTTGTTGGACATACATGGACCCAACGGTGGCCTGCCCTTAGTGAAGTTAAAGGCTAGGCCGCTTCTGTATACGGTAGGGAAAGGGATCCAAAGGGACATGGTCAAGGTCATCTACTAATTTCTTCCTTTACCTGTGTAAGTGGAAGAGTTCCAGGTGAAGTGAACTGAAGTCTAACTTGAAGACAGAGTCATGGTCCCTCAATCGATTTCCATATTTGAGCCAGTTTATAGACCCAGAAGCCCTTCCTGTGAGGACTGTTATTTCTCTTGTCGGGAAAGTATAAACAAGAACAAGTCTTACCTGAGCAGGCTACAATCACATCCTCTCTGTGTACACAATTATGCTTTCCCCATCCACGGTGTTTACAGTCCCAGATGTTTGACTCATTTCCGATGCAAGAAACATCATCCAGCCAGATAGGTCCGTATGCTGCTCTGAAATAGCCCACACCTACCATACGGATAGGCTGTCCGCATCCCAATTGTTTACACACAACAGCTGCATTCTTTGTGCTCCATAGGTCATGACACACAGTTCCCCACTCTCCTTGGTATTTCACCTCTAATCTCCCATAACAGGGACTATCATTCCCCACAAGCCTTAGGTCCAGATCTGACTTATCTGCAAGCAAGACAAAATCACATATTTGAGATTGAATGAGAGGGTCTTTTCAGAAGACTAAAGATGCTGTTTTCTTCACTCTTTAAATTCACCACTACAAGACTTTGCCTACTAGGTGATACTTCTGGATGAAGAGTTTCATTTGATAATTTTTTAATTCAATTTTTGGAGTAAAGATGTCTCTAATGGATGAAACAACAAAAGCAAATTTACTGAAGTAAAGCCTGGGGAACACTGTAACTCCTCCAAGAATGACTGCTTTGGATAAATGGGCAACGTGGAGGCATGCAGAGGAGTTCTTTGAGGTACGGATGTACTTAGGAGAAAACTCCGGCAGGTTTCTGCCGTGGAGTTCAGCATTAGCACCAAAGCTCATCCCCACATAGTCTCCATGTTCATTTGTCCACCTATGTTTTATAAGGTAAAGAAAAAAGTATGTACAGGAAATTGCCCTTTCATAAAATAAATTCCTTTCTTAAATCTTAATTTTACCGATGTTTACAGCACTTGAGAAATTTTGAGAAAATTTGACAATCTTTTCTTTCCTTTTTTCCTTCCTCCCTTCCTTTCTCTCCTTTCTTCTTCCTCTTTCCTCTTTTTCTTTTCTTTCTCTTTCTTTCTTTACTCTTTCTCTCCCTCTTTATTTTTTCTTTCTCTCTCTCCCTCCCTTCCCTCCTTCCTTTCTTTCTCTTTCTTTCTTCCTTTCTCTTTCTCTCTTTCTCTCTCTGTCTCCCTCCTTCCCTTCTTTCCCTCCCTCCCTCTATCTCTCCTTCCTCTTTCTTTCTTTCTTCTTTTCCAGGGTCTCACTCTGTCACCCAGCCTAGAGTGCTGTGGCACAGTCTTGGCTCACTACAACCTCTGCCTCCAGGATTCAAGGGATCCTCCCACCTCAGCCTTCTGAGTAGCTAAGATTACAGGCACACATCACTCATCCGGCTACTTTTTGTAGTTTTGGTACAGGCAGGGTTTTGCCATGTTGCCCAGGCCAGTCTAGAACTCCTGACCTCCTTTTGGCCTCTGAAAGTGCCAGGGTTACAGGCATGAGCCACCATGCCCAGCTAATAAATATTTTATTATGCAGCTACTACTATGATATATGAAAGTTATCATAGTTTATAATGGGTCACTTTAAAACTAGGTATCGACGGAACATATCTCAAAACAATAAAAGCTATTTACAACAAACCAACAGCCAATATCATACTGAATGGGCAAAAACTGGAAGCATTCCCTTTGAAATCTGGCACTAGATAAGGATGCCCTCTCTCACCACTCCTATTCAATATAGTACTGGAAGTTCTAGCCAGAGCAATCAGGCAAGAAAAAGAAATAAAGGGTATCCAAATTGGAAAGGAGGAAATCAAATTGTCTCTATTTGCAGATGACATGATTGTATATCTGGAAGACCCCATCATCTCAGCCCAAAATCTCCTGAAACTGATCAACAACTTCAGCAAAGTCTCAGGATACAAAATCAACGTGCAAAAATCACAAGCATTCCTATACACCAGTAATAGACTTCAAGAGAGCCAAATCAAGAACGAACTGCCATTCACAATTGCTACAAAGAGAATAAAATACCTAGGAATACAACTAACAAGGAACGTAAAGGACCTCTTCAAGGAGAACTACAAGCCATTGCTCAACGAAATAAGAGAGGATACAAACAGACGGAGAAACATTCCATGTCCATGGTTAGGAAGAATCAACATAGTGAAAATGGCCATACTGCCCAAAGTAATTTATAGATTCAACGCTATTCCCATCAAGCTACCAATGACCTTCTTCACAGAACTGGAAACAAACACCTTAAACTTCATATGGAACCAAAAGAGAGCCTGCATAGCCAAGTCAATTCTAAGCAAAAAGAACAAAGCAGGAGGCATCACACTACCGGACTTCAAACTATACTACAAGTCTACAGTAATCAAAACAGCATGCTACTGGTACCAAAACAGAGATATAGACCAATGGAACAGAACAGAGGCCTCAGAGGAAATACAACATACCCACAACCATCTGATCTTCGACAAACCTGACAAAAACAAGCAATGGGGAAAGGACTCCCTGTTTAATAAATGGTGTTGGGAAAACTGGCTAGCCATGTGCAGAAAGCAGAAACAGGACCCCTTCCTGACACCTTACACCAAAATTAACTCCAGATGGATTAAAGACTTAAACATCAGACCTAACACCATAAAAACCTTAGAAGAAAATCTAGGCAAAACCATTCAGAACATAGGTGTAGGCAAGGACTTCATGACCAAAACGCCAAAAGCAATGGCAACAAAAGCCAAAATAGACAAATGGGACCTAATCAAACTCCACAGCTTCTGCACGGCAAAAGAAACAGTCAGTAGAGTGAATCGGCAACCAACAGAATGGGAAAACATTTTTGCAGCCTACCCATCTGACAAGGGGCTGATATCCAGAATTTACAAAGAACTAAAGCAGATCTACAAGAAAAAAACAAACAAGCCCATTCAGAAATGGGCGAAGGATATGAACAGATACTTTACAAAAGAAGACATACAGGAGGCCAACAAACATATGAAAAAATGCTCATCATCACTGGTCATCAGAGAAATGCAAATCAAAACCACATTGAGATACCATCTCACACCAGTTAGAATGGCGATCATTAAAAAATCAGGAAACAACTGATGCTGGAGAGGATGTGGAGAAATAGGAACACTTTTACACTGTTGGTGGGAATGTAAATTAATTCAACCATTGTGGAAGACAGTGTGGTGATTCCTCAAGGATCTAAAAATAGAAATCCCATTTGACCCAGCAATCCCATTACTGGGTATATATCCAAAGGATTAGAAATCATTCTACTACAAGGACACGTGCACACGAATGTTCATTGCAGCACTGTTTACAATAGCAAAGACCTGGAACCAACCCAAATGCCCAACGATGATAGACTGGATAGGGAAAATGTGGTACATATACACCATGGAATATTATGCAGCCATCAAAAACGATGAGTTCACGTCCTTTGTAGGGACATGGATGAACCTGGAAAGCATCATTCTCAGCAAACTGACACAAGAGCAGAAATCAAACACCGTATATTCTCACTTATAGGTGGGTGTTGACCAATGAGAACACATGGACACAGGGAGGGGAGCACTACACACTGGGGTCCGTTGGGGGGAAATGGGGGAGGGGAGGGGGGTGGGGAGGTGGGAAGAGATAGCATGGGGAGAAATGACAGATACAGGTGAGGGGACGGAAGGCAGCAAAGCACACTGCCATGTGTGTACCTATGCAACAATCTTGCATGTTCATCACATGTACCTCCAAACCTAAAATGCAATAAAAAAAAAACTGCACAACTACATGGAAACTGAACAACCTGCTCCTGAATGACTACTGGGTAAATAATGAAATGAAGGCAGAAACAAAGATGTTCTCGAAACCAATGAGAATGAAGACACCATATACCAGAGTCTCTGGGACACATTTAAAGCAGTGTCTAGAGGGAAATTTATAGCACTAAATGCCCACATGAGAAGCAAGGAAAGCCTTGACATCTTCAGAAAAAAAAAAAGGAATAAAAAAAAGAGAAGTGAGGAAAGTTCTAAAATAGACACCCTAATGTCACAATTAAAAGAACCAGAGGAGCAAGATCAAATAAATTCAAAAGCTATCAGAAGACAAGAAATAACTAAGATCAGAGCAGAACAGAAGGAGATAGAGACACAAAAACCCTTCAAAAAACCAATGAATCCAGGAGCTGGTTTTTTTGAAAAGATCACAAAATAGATAGACCACTAATCAGAATAATAAAAAAGAAAAGAGAAAAGAATCAAATAGATGCAATAAAAAATGCTAAAGGGGAGATCACCACTGATTCCACAGAAATACAAACTACCATCAGAGATTACTACAAACACCTCTATGCACATAAACCAGTAAATCTAGAAGAAATGAATAATTCCTGGACACCTACACCCTCCCAAGAGTAAACCAGGAAGAACTTGAATCCCTGAATAGACCAATAACAAGGTCTGAGGTTGAGGCAGAAATTAATAGTGTACCAACCAAAAAAAGTCCAGGACCAGATGGATTCATAGTTGAATTCTACCAGAAGTATAAAGAGGAGCTGGTACCACTCCTTCTGAAACTATTCCAAAAAATACAAAAAGAGTGAATCCTATGTAACTCATTTTAGGAGACCAACATCATCCTAATACCAAAACCTGGCAGAGACACAACTAAAGAAGAAAATTTCAGGCCAATATCAATGATGAAGATTGATGTGAAAATCTTCAACAAAATACTGGCAAGCCAAATCCAACAGCACATCAAAAAGCTTTTCCATCATGATCAAGTTGGCTTCATCTAAATGATGCAAGGCTGGTTTAACATATGCAAATCTATAAATGTAATCCATCACATAAACAAAACCAAAGACAAAAACCACGATTATCTCAATAGATGAAGAGAAGGACTTCAACAAAATTCAACAGCCCTTTATGCTAAAAACTCTCAATCAACTAGGTATCAATAGAATATATCTTAAAAAAAAAAACTATGACAAACTCACTCTCAATATCATACTGAATGGGCAAAAACTGGAAGCATTCCCTTTGAAAACTGACGTAAGACAAGCATGTCCTCTCTCACCATTCCTATTCAACATAGTATTGGAAGTTCTGGCCAGAGCAATCAAGCAAGAAAAAGAAATAAAGGGTATTCAATTAGGAAAAGAGGAAGTCAAATTCTCTCTATTTGCAGATGACATGGTTGTGTATTTAGAAGACCCCATTATCTCAGCCCAAAATCTCCTTAGGCTGATAAGCAACTTTAGCAAAGTCTCAGGATACAAAATCAATGTGCAAAAGTCTCCAGAATTCCTATACACCAATAACAGACTAACAAAAAGTCAAATCATGAGCAAACTCCTATTCACAAATGCTATAAAGAGAATAAAATACCTACGAATACAACTAACAAGGGATGTGAAGGACCTTTTCAAGAACTACAAACCACTGCTCAAGGCAATCAGAGAGGACACAAACAGATGGAAACACATTCCATACTCATGGTTAGGAAGAATCAATATTGTGAAAATGGCCATATAGCCCAAAGTAATTTATAAATTCAATGCTATCCCCATCAAGCTACCATCGACCTTCTTCACAGAAATGGAAAAAACCACCTTAAACTTCATGTGGAACCAAAAGAGAGCCCACATAGCCAAGACAATCCTAAGCAAAAAGAACAAAGCTGAAGGCATCACACTACCTGACTTCAAACTATGCTACAAAGGTACGCTAATCAAAACAGCAGGGTACTGGTACCCAAACAGAGATATAGACAAATGGAACAGAACAGAGGTCTTGGAAGCAACTCCACACATCTACAACCATCTAATCTTTGACAAACCTGACAAAAATAAGTTCCTGTTTAATAAATGGTGCTGGGAAAACTGGCTAGACATATGCAGAAAGCTGAAACTGGACCCCTTCCTTACACCTTATACAAAAATTAACTCCAGATGGATTAAAGATTTAAACATAAGACCTAACACCATAAAAAAACCTAGAAGAAAACCTAGGCAATACCATTCAGGACATAGGCATAGGCAAAGACTTCATGACTAAAACACCAAAAGCAATGGCAACAAAAGCCAAAATAGACAAATGGAATCTAATTAAACTTAAGAGCTTTTACACACCAAAGAAACCATCATTAGAGTGAACTGGCAACCAAAAGAATGGAAGAAAATTTTTGCGAACTACCCATCTCACAAAGGGCTAATATCCAGAATCTACAAAGAACTTAAACAAATTTACAAGAAAAAAAAAAAAAAACATCAAAAAGTCGGCAACGGATATGACCAGACAATTTTTAGAGGAAGGCATTCACTGCATTCCAGCCTGGGTGACAGAATAAGACCCTGACCCTGTCTCAAAAAACAAAACAAAAACAAACAAAAGAGAAAAAACATTTATGCAGTGAACAAACATATGAAAAAATGCTCATCATCTCTGGTCACTAGGGATATGCAAATCAAAACTGCATTGAGATACCATCTGATGCCAGTTAGAATGGCAATCATTAAAAAACCAGGAGACAACAAATGCTGGAGAGGATGTGGAGAAATAGGAACACTTTTACACTGTTGGTGGGAGTGTAAATTAATTCAATCATTGTGGAAGACAGTGTGGTGGTTCCTCAAGGATCTAGAACTAGAAATACCATTTGATCCAGCAATCCTATTACTGGGTATACACCCAAAGGATTATAAATCATTCTATTATAAAGACACATGCACATGTATGTTCACTGTAGGGCTGTTTATGATAGCAAAGACTTGAAACCAACCCAAATGCCCATCAATTATAGACTGGATAAAGAAAATGTGGCACATATACACCATGGAATATTATGCAGCCTTAAAAAGTATTAATTCACGTCCTTTGCAGTGACATGGATGAAGCTGGAAACCATCATTCTCAGCAAATTGACACAAGAACAGAAATAAACAATGTATATTATTAAATTAAAAAGTTAAAAAGCAGCAGAAAAACTGTTAAGAAAACTGTAAATTAGTACAACCCATTAGCTTTATATGAAGAGAGATTTCCCAATTACTTCAGAGATACAGATTATAGTCATGCAGCGGACATCAGCTGCATCTGATTTCAGGGGAGATTGCTAGTGAGAAGAAACTCTCTGTTACAACGTGCATTTGAAAAATTCTTTGTGCAGCTTAAGAGTATTTTGGGGATTTTTTTAAGATCTGAAAAACCTTTTCTTCAAGCTATTAAGTGTTTCTACCTCCCAACAAATTATTTCTAAAAATTCAAATGTGTACACTCTCATGATCTTTGAACCTCACCAGAACAAATTACTCCAGCATCTGATCTTCGGAGGCATGTTTGCCTTGGTCTTCCATCATATATACAGTCCCAGAGAGCGGACTCATTTCCAGTGCAAGATATGCTGTTTATCCAAATGCCTTTAGCTTCGTTACGAGGTTTAGCATGATGACTGCCAAAGACAGTAACCGGACATCCTAGCTGTTTACAAACCACGAGGGCTTGTTCATTCTTCCAGTTCAGGTCACATATTGTCCACCACTGTTCATGGATTCTCACCTCTACTCTCCCTGAACAATTGTCATTTCCATCTGCCAGTCGCAGATCCAAATTTGCTCCATCTAGAATGAAGTCATAGAGAAACATCTGAATTGGATTTGGGACAATATCATCAGCGTCCCTCTCCTCTAACCCCTGCCATGTGAAGATTAGATATATCCTTCATACACTGAGAAAAGTAAAGACTGGAAATGCATTTTGTTTTAAAATTTCAACAAGAAGACTTCAGTACTGAAGTGCTTGTTAGTCTTTATGAAAACAATTTTTTAAGTATGAAAATTGAAATTATAAACCTAAGAAACTTGCTTTAGCCTTGCTAAAATTTAAGGAACTAAACATTACAATGAAAAGCCTTAGAATCTTATATATCGTTAATTACACCGATTTTCAAAATATTAGAGTGATCATTTTTAACACAGTAAAATAAAATGTTGGGAAATACTTGCATGTCAGCAACTTCAGAAAGAAAAGGGACAAAAGTGTACAATTAGGAAAGAATCCCTCGTGGATTTAAATAGAAACATGTTCTTTCTCATACTGTTTTTTATGAAGAAGCAAATCTTTGCTTATAAAATATATTTGTTGTAGGAAATGAAATTTGTTCAGTGGTAAATTTTGAAGGAACTGTGTGTTTTTGCTTCATCAGCATATACATCACTTACTTGTCTGTATTCCTGTGACTCTACTTTTTCTTTCTTTCGTTCTTTCTTTTTTTTTTTTTTTTTAAAAACGAGGTTTCACCATGTTGGTCAGGCTGGTCTTGAACTCCCAACCTCAGGTGATCCATCCGCCTTGGCCTCCAAAGTGCTTGGATTACAGGCGTGAGCCACCACGCCTGGCCGACTCTACTTTTTTCATGCATGCAAGTAAATATATTATATAACCCCAAGAAAGTAAAAATGTGAAGAATTCTTCTTGAAATAATTGAGGAAAGAAGATACAATTTCTATGTCTTACCTCCTCCCATTATTCAAGCTTTTCATATATCATTACAAAAATATAATTTGCTATCTAGTGAGAAATCTGATTCACAGTGAAGAGGTTAGTCTTGGAAGATTTGGAGGTTTATTTTCCTATAAATAATGTGAGTCATAATGGCGATAATAATCATACCTGTATCTATGGAGAACTTCCTGGTTGTCTGGCACATTTTAGGTATTTTTCCTGCACTATTTTATTTAATGCTGTTATCCTAGTCATGATATAAGAAATCTGCAACTTGGAGATTGATTTATGCAGAGTTACATAATTTTCAAGCGGCAGATTTTAAACTGTGAAACTGTGAACTGGTTTTGTTTGTTTAAAAAAAATCCTCTGACTACAGGCCCGAAGAGAAGGCCAGTGTATCTAACTACCTATCCGCCCGTGTGTTGGCCATACCCATCTGTTTTCACTGTTGAGACTGGTTTCCAACCTTATTTTCACATCCACATCATTCTTCATGACCATTCCTTACTCTTCCAGGGGCACACAATTCCAGAAATTCCAGAGTTTGAATAGCAATTAGTCTTACAGTTAGAGATGTTATATCAAGTCAGAAGTACACTGTTAGGAATTCACTTTATTGTAAGAAAATTTATCAAAATGATTAAGATTCTCTCTCTCTTCCTGTTTCTTCCTCCCTTCTCTCATTTCTCTCATCTTCTCATATCTCCCTCTTTTTCTCTCCTAACTTTTCTCTACCTGTTTTCTTTCCATTTATGTAAAGAAAAATTTTTCTTATAAAATGATGGATTGGTTAAATATACTGCGGAAAACTCTTTTGCATGGTGAAAGTGATTGGTCCCCAAATAAAACTTGCAAGCAAACTAGTATAAAAAGAAAGAAAAGGATTAAAAGACGTTCTGAATATACTATCTTTCCCAAAAGTCCTATGAAGATGGCTTGAAGCCTGGGCTAAGATACAGCTAAACCAATAAACCTCTTTGCCTACATATGTTTTTCTATGTACCTCGTTCCCTGCAGCATATGCTAGACTTAAGCAAAACTCTCTTTAAAAGATGTGACCGGATCTCAAATTTTATAGGAAAGAAGATTAAGGCATCCCCTGTAAGGCTGGTAGAGTAAGATCAGTAATAATTTACTAAAGAAGCCTCTTCCATCAAGACAAAGTGACTCTCAGAGGAAATTAGTTGGCTCTACATGTAGAGATTCTCCTTTCATAGGAGTATTAGAAGGTGTGGGTTTAATCTTATTAAAAGAGTGAACAGGTTTCACTACATCTTTGATGTAATGAAACAAAAAATACTACTGTGAAAGAAATATGAGGGGATATTTGAACCCCTGATACACAAAACTATAAATAAACAGCGAGGGGTAACTTGCTTGTAGTTGAGAGTTGCAAACTAGAAAAGAAATGGCTGCCGACAAAAGGTTCACTAGCATAAGGTACAAAGTAATTAGCAAAGTCATACATTTTTAGATACGTACTCTTTGGAAATAGTTTATTATAATGGAAGGATGTGCTGAAACAAACTCAGTTATAACATAGAAAAATATAGTTGTGTCTATGAATATGCAAAGTAATTACACATTTTTAAATTACACTGAATACTAATGTAAGCCATATACTTGTATAGATTAATAGCAATTTTCACTAGATTAGATATTTTGTTGCACCAATTAGAATGAAGTAAAATGGTGTTTGGGGGTTAAAAACCCGTGAGGTTTACAATGTAATATGCTGGCCAAAAAAAAAAAAAAAAAAAAAAAAAAAAAAAATGCAAGCAGGTTCTCTAAGGAAAAATGGAAAGTGTCAATTCTTACACGTCTCGATTGGTTGTAACTTCTTCAGGGTCTGGTCCTAGTTCTCCAAAAAAGTACTTTTATCTGATGTAATCATGTGGGTGTAAGTCTTACCTGAGCAGATCACAGACACATCGTTATGATGAATACAGTGAACATTTACGGTTCCGGAATGTCCGCAGTCCCAAAGGAAAGATTCATTACCGGAGCAGGAGACACCATCAAGCCATATCACATCAGACCCTGGCTCCAAATGAGGCAAGCCAGCGAAATGAAGTGCAGCTCCACATCCCAACTGCTTGCATACGACATCGGCTGCAGCCCTGTCCCACTTATGGTGGCATATGGTCCCCCACCTTCCTTGGACCTTCAGCTCTACTCTCCCCACACAGCGGTTGGGTCCACCTACAAGCCTTAGTTCAAGATCATTGCTATCTGAAACAGAGATACAAACACAAAGCCAAGGTGAAGGTTCGAAACTTTAGATTCCAGATCCTGCTATCCAATAAACACAAATATCTAATAAACGGAGATTCAATGAATGTCTAATTCTTGCTTTTTAAAATTTTTGACAAGTACAACTTTAATGTAATAGAATCTTTCCCAGGAAAGGATCATACTATGACCTTGACAATCCAGCAGAATCTCTGGCGTTTGGGAAATAAAGCGCAACAGGGAATAGAAATGACCTATCTGATTGTGAGTTAAGAACAAATCAATCAAAAGTCAAGAATGCATGCAAATTTATTGTCAAAACATGAGCCTTTGCTGGCCCTGAGCCTAACCAGGAAACATTTTAGAACTTTTAATTGTGTATAAGCAGTGGCAGTAAGATGTCATTGTCATCACTGTCATCATCCTCATTCCTACTTCAAAAAGTTTTCTTCCTTTAAATGAACATTCAACTCCAACTTCTTCCAATATAACTTCCAACCATTCGTCTTACTGGAATTTACTCTCTTGAATGATAAAGATGAAAAATAAAGCTTCCCGGCCAGAGCCAGGCACCTGCCGACTGTTATGACGATGAGCCTAAGTGCAGCAGAAGAACACACACTGTGTGACGTTCGGCCGCGGCCTGCCGACGCGCACCTCCCCGCGCTCTGAGCACGCTGTTTGGAGAAGCCCTTCTCCATCGTCTCCGTCACTTCTGGGTGCAGGAAGGGGCTGGCCAACCGTTCGATGTCGTCCAGCGCCAGGCGGCTCAGGGACCTCTCGTAATCCCTCCGTGGCCGTTCCAGGACCCCGCTGCCATCTGCCGCTCTGAAGTGGCGGGCCAAGACTTTGGAGATCAGCTGCCAGACCTGCGGGGCTGGGGAGTCGACCAGTCTCCGGCCAGCGCCTTCTTCTGGTAGCACCTTCTCCAGGGGTTTGACCACTGGGTTGAGCTTGGAGTTGGGCCCGATGCTCTAATCCGAGAGTCGTTTCCCATCTGCCAGGGCCTTGGCCTTGAAGAGCAGCCGCTGCTGGCGCACGGGGACGGTCGGCTTCTCTGAGAGCAGCTGCTGCAGCGTGGACACCAGCTCGTCCTCCCGCGCCTGCAGGCTGCGCCTTCACCGTCAGCTGCGTGGCCGCTTTCAATTGTTTAGAAGGGGAATTTCATCGCCTGCTCCTCTCCCACTTCTGCCGGTCTTTGCCTAGGTCTTCTAAGAATCCAAGAGTACATTCTCTCTCTCTCTCTCTCTCTCTCTCTCTCTCTCTCTCTCTCTCTCTTCTCTCTCTCTCTCTCTCTCCCCAATTGCTAGTTTTGTCCCCATATCTCTCAGTTAAATGTGAGTTTTTTTTACAGATGATTTACCTTTGTTTAATAAATTAACATACAGTAAAATTGACTGGTTTTGTGATTTGTGTGTGTACAGTTCTATGAGTTGTAATACATGTATTGATTTGTGTCACTATTACCATAGTAAGAATATAGAAATGCTTTACCCCATTCACTCATTGAAAGACAGTTAGTCACAGTGTATTACTATTTTAATATATTGCTAGATTCAAGAAATAGGGTATCATATTAGCAATATTTTTAAACTATTTATAGTTTTGTATTTTTATTGATACATACTAGTTGTACGTATTTTGGGGATACATGTGATATTCTTATAACTACATATAATGTGAAATATTCAAATTAGAGTAATTTGGATATCTGTCACCTCAAAAATTTATCTTCTCTTTGTGGTGAGGACACTCCAAATTTTCTCTTGTCTTTAGATGTTCTTGTCTTAATCTAAGAATGGATTAAGGAAATAGATTCCCAGAAATAATGTGGAACCCTAGGGTGTAGGCATACTCGAAAAGATTCACAATTGGGTATACCGTTCTGCCTTTTGCTTTTGTTATTTTGAGCAGAGATCCTGTTACTTGCAAAAGCCTTTCTCTGCCTCAATTTTGGACTTGGACTTTTTCAACTACCATGTCTAGAAAAGAGCGTAAGATAAAGAGGGAGAGAGTCAATGCCCAACATGGTTTGTTCCTCTTTTTCTCTCTTTGCTGCTCAACATCCAGTCATCCAAGGGAAAAAAAGAAGAAATAAAGAAGAATGACTCTTCTCATTGCTACTGCATGTATATATGACTTCTATGGAAGGTGAGATTATTGAGGCTATAGAGTAAGTTTATAAACCTAAAGATGGAATTAGCATTTTTCCAAGAAGAGATTATTATAGTGTTATGTATTTTAAAAGAGATAGGCAATATATAGGGGATATTAATTCAAAATGTGTTTTTTTAAGTAGACATAAGAAAGGAAACTATGTATCTTTGTAAATGTATATATGTATTCAAAATTTCCTCATAAATTAAGTTTTATTTTTGTATACTAATTTATGTAAAATCTGCCCAATTGTAGCACGCAAAGTTCAGAACCCACCAAAAGAGACCCTCGGTAAACCCAGACTTGGAAAAGGTATCCTAAAGCAGCAGCTCCCCACCTTTTTGGCACCAAAGATTGATTTTGTGGAAGAAAATTTTTCCACGAAAGTTGGGGGGAATGGGGGGGAATGGCGATGGTTCCAGGATGAAACTGTTCTGCCTCAGATAACCCGGCATTAGATTCTCATACGGACTGCACAACCTAGATTCCCCAAATGCACTCCTGTGAGAATAGGGTTTGTGTCCCCGTGAGAATCTAATGCCCACACTGATCTGCGAGGAAGCGGAGCTCTCTCAGTGATGCTCTCTTGCTGACCTCTCACCTCCCGCTGTGTGGCCCAGTCCCTAACATGCCGTGACAGGAACCAGTTCACAGCCCAGGGATTGAGACCCCTGTCCTAAAGGCTACATTTCTAGAAATAAGGGATAGCACAGACTAGCCTTTGAAGGAACTGAAGCCAAGATTCAGTCTCTAACTGTGACTGAATTAAGGTTATCTGAGATTGCCTTTTGCCAAAAATATAAAATTACCCTACATCTGGTTGACTTTATAGTTTTTCGTGAATTGTGCATCTTACTCTCTCAGAAATAATAAAAGTGTGGAGAGAATAACATGATTGAAAACCAAGAGAAAAAAAGACACAATCAACAGGAGGTATGAATTACCAGAAACAGATGGTAAATCACCATCCTTAATATGTACAACAAAATAAAAGGCAAGACAGAAAATTTTGGCAGAAAAATAAAAACTATAAAAATAAACCAATTGAAGGTTCTAGAACTGAAAAATGCAGTTAATTAAATTATTAACACAATAGATTAGTTTAATAAAATTCATCAAAGAAAATAGTATTAGCATGCTGCAGGATACAAGCAGAATCAAGCAGAAAAAGACAAAATATAGGAAATGCAGAGAAAAAAAAGTTTCAAGAGGCACAAGGTAGGGAATAAGAAAACAAATATTCGTGTAATTGCAGTTCCAAAGAGTAAAAAGATAGAGAATTCAGAAAAAAAAAAAAAAAATTGAAAACTTAGCAGTTAAGGGCCAGCGCAGTGGCTCACGCCTGTAATCCCAGCACTTTGGGAGACTGAGACGGGCAGATCAGTGGAGGTCAGGGGTTCAAGACCAGCCTGGCCAACAGTGGTGAAATCTCGTCTCTACTAAAAATACAAAAATTTGCTGGGCGTGATGGCATGCACCTGTAATCCCAGTTACTAGGAGGCTGAGGCAGGAGGATCACTAGAATCCAGGAGGCAGAGGTTCCAGTGAGCTGAGATCACGCCACTGCACTCCAGCCTGGGCAACAAAGACTTCATCTCAAAATAAAAAATATATATGTGTTAAGAATTTGCCAAAAATTGAGACTCTTCAAATATAGCCCCAGATTCAAGCATCATCATAAACTAACAAGCACGGGAACACAAAGAAAATTACATCAAAGCACATAATGGTAAAATGGAAATTAAAAACAGAAAAAAAAAAAAAAAACACTTTAAAAGTACCAAGAGACTAAGATGAGTTCCCTTCAGAGAAAATTCAATAAAAACGACAATTCCCTTTTCAACAGAAAAGAAAAAATCATAAAACATGGAATAATACTTTCCAGAGAGTAAAGGGAATACTGAATAGCCTAAAATTCTGAGTTAACTCTTAAAGATGATATTGCTAGTTTTCCCTTTAAAAAATAAATCATTATGACAAATTTGAACATAGATTTCCTTTTTTAAATTTCCAGTTTGTTGAAAGTCTTACTAAAACAGATCATTACAGGATCCAAATGATGATGACCATTATTATTCCCCTGATATGGTTTGGATGTTTTGTCCCCTCTGAATCTCAGGTTGAAATGTGATTCCCCAGTATTGAAAGTGGGGCCTCGGTGAGGTGTTCAGGTCATGGAGGTGGGTCTTTCATAAATGGCTTTGTGCCCTCCCTGCAGTAACGAGTTCATAGCGGAGCTGGTTGTTTAAAGAGCCTGGCACCTCCCCCACCACCTTGTTCCCTTCTCTCTTGCTTCCTCTTTCCACATGATATGTTGACTTCTCTTTGGCCTTCTGCCATGATTGTAAGTTCTCCAAGGTCATCACCAGAAGTCGTTGCTGGTTCCACGATTCATGTACAGCCTTCAGAATCATGAATCAAATAAATCTCTTTCCTTTATAAATTACCTGGTCTGAGGTATTCATTCATAGCAATGCAAATTGACTAATACATCCCCCAATCACAGTGTTTGCATACCCAGAGGAGCTATTTATTTCCCAAGCAGGATGTATTAAACATCTATATATTCTTGGATTAAGCACTAACATTAGGATGAAAATTCACATTGACCATAGAGTGTTAACTCAGTTAATTACAAACAACTAGTAGCATCCCAGTTCTGAGGACACACAGTTCCTCACTGATCCTGGACATCAACATTTCCCACTTCTTCACATCAGTTACTACCATTCACTGTCTCTAACAATTCCTTTCTGTCTTAAAAATAGACACAAGTCCAAGTCATAAGCGAGACCAAGGAGAAAAAGTCTTCCTGGATTTGAAAACATCATTTATCTCCTTAA